TTTTTTTTTAAAAGGGACTTGACAGATGATTAATTGGGCTTCATAATTGCCTAATTTTTTTCACTTGATTAGGTTTAGAAATTTTCTTGGTTTAAAAGTTTCAAATTTTTAATTTAAATTTGTAGTATGACAGAAAGGAATAAAATTATTAATTTTGTTTTGGGCTTTTATATTAAATTTTTGGGGTTTTAAATGATGTAGGAAATTTTAAATTTATAAAAATTTTTACATTGTGGTTGGGCATTTTGATAGTAAAATGTTAATTATTTAAAATTTTATTTGATTGGTATTCGATTTTGATTATTTTCTGGAAAAGATTTTATATCTAAATTTTGGCTTTAGGGGGGGTCCCCAAAAAAGAACTGGATTTTCCCAGGAAGCACCCCGTGCACAGCCCCTTGGTTAATTTATTTAAATTTATTAACCATTATTCTGTATGTGCACAAAAATTTTATTTCAATCAAAAATTTAAACGAAAAAGAAAATTTTTAAAAATTTTTATAAACCCATCAATGAATTATGTTAAAATTAAATGGGTTTTAAAAAAAAAACAGGTGGTTATGCGTAGGAAGGGCCCATGGGACCGCGGGAAAATGGCAAAAATGGGTTGGGAAAAACCCCATTATTGGCATGAGTCCTTGATCTCGTGATGGTGCGGGGGTTTGGAGGGGCCCCCCTTCAGTTTGTAAATGAAAAATAATAATCAATTTGAGGAAATACCTACCAAGCTTTTATGGTTACTTGATATGTACAATCTGAAAATAAAGATAAAAATTTTCAAATTCTTTTCCTAAATTTGGATTTTTAAAAGGGGCCCTTTGGTAGAATTTTTGTAAATAACCAAAATTTTTGTTAAGGCAGAATTGTAGAAATCTAAAGTTTTTTTGCCTCAAATGAATGTCATTGTCAATGAAAATTTTATTTCCTCTTGTGTCTTTTGCCATCCCCAGTGACCTTGGGATGGTCCTTAAAAAAATTTAGTCAAAAACAGTGAAATTTGGGTCGCAGAAATCCAGGGGCTGTGGGGTGGTGGGTTTTTTTTGGGTGTTACGTGAATCAAAAAAAGGGGTGGGGTTTAAACTTTTTTTTTTGTGTGTTTTTGGCTGTTTTAACCCCATTTTAGAAGAGATTTTTTTTAAAAATATTAGAAGGGAGTAGGGTCGTTTAAGTTAAGATAAATATCATCATTGCCATTCTGAATGGTTTGTAAAATGGGCCCTTTTTAGCCCAAGGTTTTGGTCCTTTTTGCATCACATTGTACTGTAAAGTGAAATTTTTTAAGAAATAGGAAATGACCCCGCTCACTAAATTCCCCCAAATTAACCACTTACCATAAAAAAAATGCTAAAACCAAAAAAAGTTTTTTTAAAAAAAGAATATTTTAAATTTTTGTTAGTAATAAAAGTTTTTAAACTTTACTATTTAAAGTTAAAGGGAAAGTAAAATAAAATTTTTGTTTCTTTAAAAATTTTCGTTTCTTGACACAAAAAACAAAAAAATTAAACAGGGGAAACGGGAAAACCCCACGTGTACGATTTAGCCAATACATGCATTAGCGCAATAGTTCAAAATTTCGAGGTTCCGGGCACCAAATCATATAGATTCCGTAGTGGGATGGTTTATGTGCTTTTTACCGTTTCAATTAATAGGTTAAAACGGCCCGGTTAGTTTTCCAAAAAGGGATTTGGGAACCCCCACAACAAAAATTTCCAAAGATCATGTGTGCGCTTGCGCCTTACATTCGAACGTTTGAGTGAATAAAGACTTTTTATCGGATTAATATTTCGAATACTTTTACTAATCATATTTCTATTTTCAAGCACCCGCCCCCAGATAAAAATTTAGGGGTCCCCGGACCCTGACGCCATCAAAGCCCCCCCTGCGGAAAGCTGAAATTTGAAAAAGTCTACCTAACCCCAAATTTCGGGGCAAGGGGGCGGGACGGGGGGGAGAAAAAATGTCATCCAAAAATCTTCCAAAATCTCTTTTTTATGTTCTGATGATTTTTCGTTTATCAAAGCTTTCTTTAGGAACAGATCTTTGAGTACCTCAATCGTGTCTTATGCTATCCTCAGTGACCTTGTAAGATGGTTATTGAAGAAAAATTCAGTCAAAACAGTAAAAACAATTCAAATATGTTCTACATGTAGGACATATTCAACATTTTCATTGCATTGAAGTTTTGTCCGGATGTACTGAATCCATGGCTACCTTGATGGCGATTTGTGTCACTCTCACCGATCTCACTGATTGGTCACTGGTGAAAATTTCAGTCAAAACCGCAAAATTTTGGTCAAGGGGACGGCAGAAAAGCTCCTCTTCAAAAATCTTCCAAAATCTCTTTTTATATTCTGATGATTTTCCGTTTATCAAAGCTTTTTTTGGGAATAGAACTTTGAGTTCCTCAATCTTGTCTTGTGCCATCTTCAGTGACCTTGTAAGATGGTCCTTGAAGAAAAATTCAATCGAAACAGTGAAATTTGGGTCGCAGAAATCTGAAATTCAAATATGTCCTACCGGTAGGACATGTTCAAAATTTTCATTGAATCTAAGTTTTCTCCGGATATACTGCTACAGTACCTTGATGGTGGCTTTTGTAATTCTCACCGACCTCACTGATTGGTCAATGGTAAAAATTTGAGTGAAAACCGCAAAATCTCGGCGTAGGGGACAGCAAAAAAGCTCCTCTTCAAATATCTTCCAAAATCTCTTTTTATATTCTGATGATTTTCCGTTTATCAAAGCTTTCTTTGGGAATAAATATTTGAGTACCTCAATCGTGTTTTGTGCCATCTTCAGTGACCTTGTAAGATGGTTGTTGAAGAAAAATTCAGTCAAAACAATGCAATGTGGGTCGCAGAAAGCTGAAATTCGAATATGTCCTACTTGTAGGACATATTCAAAATTTTCATTGCATCAAAGTCACCTCCGGATATATTTCTTCCAGTACCTTGATGGCGACTTGTGTCACTCTCACCGACCTCACTAATTGGTCACTGGTAACAAGTTCAGTCAAAACCACGAAATTCCGGTCAAGGGGACGGCAGAAAAGCTTGTCATCAAAAATCTTCCAAAATCTCTTTTTATACAGGGTGGCCCTTTTAAGATATTGCAGATACGTGATCTCGGCACTTAATCAGTGATTTCGTCACCCAATCAGTAATCTCATCGAGCAACAATGAGCCTCATTAGGTGGTAACGAGCATGTTGGTGGATGACGATCTGATCACTTTGAGTGAATACTGATAGTGACATTCCTTAAAACCGAAGAAATTTGCATTATAGCGCTTCGGTTGCTGTCCAATAAGCAGTCTCCAACCAATCAGGACATTGATTGAGTGAAGATATCACTGATTAAGTGTTGGATTACTTATCTGCAAGATCTTAAAAGGGTCATAACTCGGTTAAATTGTGAACAACCAACTTGAAATTTTGGGAAAGCACTTATCAAACCAAATGTGTCTAGAAACTTTGAAGTTCCTAGCTGAAAGCGTTCTCACGCTGAAAATAGTGAAAAAGAGGGAGTGGCGTGCCACACCCACTGTAATAAATTAAATTTGACGAAACTTTCAGGAAATCTAAGTTTGACCCATATCTATAATCTCTGAAATTTCTGTGCAATTCTAAGAAGAATTACGCGAGTTATTAAAGGATTGTGTGTGGGCAGTAACTTCTGGACCACCCTGTATTATGATGATGTTCCGTTTATCAAAGCTTTCTTTGGGAATAGAGAACCTTATCGTTTCTTGTGCAATCCTCAGTGACCTTGCTAAATGGTCATCGAAGAAATATTCAGTCAAAACAGTGAAATATGGGTCGTGGAAAGCTACCGACTGGTAGAAAATTTTCAAAACTTTCATCGTATCAAAGCTCAGTTCATATTGGACTTTATGACGTCACTTAGTTGCGACTGTATTACAAGCAGAATGAGGAATATAATATTTCTGCTGGTTTAAATTTCAAGTTAAATTGATAAGAAGTGTAGTTTCTAGGCTGTATTCTATTTCTTCACCGAATACCTATTTGAATCAAACTGATTCAAACCATCCACTTAAGAGCATAATACATGTGAGAAATTTACACGACATAAATGATTGCAAAATATAATATTCATTAATATGACAGTAAATAATGAAAATTTACAGATTACGAGATCTCATCTTTCTGGACGTAATCACAAATAACATTGACTTTTTCGTGACAGAATAACGAACAGATCATTCAAATAATAACTGGCAATCGGCCAATTAACACTCTACTTTACACTGTACTTTTTTCACAGTTGAATATATCCTGTCGAGCTAGGGTACCTATCTAGTAAGCAAATACAGATGAGATATGACGAGCGATATGCCATGAGAACAGTAAGTTCTGATTGACTTTACATTTTATTGTTGACATGTAATTTAAACTCTAAAGGTACGTGTAACGTGTTTTGATAATCTTATAATTTAATATATGAATTTAATAATAGGTTTAAATCTGTCAACCTGATAAGGCTGCAAACTCTTCAATAATCTACCCAATATAATTTCCTTGAAAACGGTCCCAATTCTTGCATACAGGTTTCAGCACGAGTCTCGCTAACGCATATGTAAAGAATTTCGCTTGTTTAGAACGCCTAAATGACTTATTAATATTAAGATCTGAACACTTCAGCTACAATATTATTTTCCCGCTCTATTCTGACTGTATTTATAATGTTATTAAACAACTCTTCTTGCTGCACTCCCTGGACTCAGAGCAGGGAATCCGGTTTGGTGACCTATTAAACCGGATAAGTTAACTCAAACAGGTCAGACTACCGGTTTGTATTCTAGGAAGAAGATTTAGTTTCCACTTTGTAGAGGGTGTTATTTTCAAGGTTTTCTGTTCTATTTAGTTTCCGGCTTCCTGCTCACCAAACTTCGCTAATTAATAACCTGCTAATTAATTAATTACCCCAAGTTGTGTTTGTTATTTCTCAGAATTGTAATTATTTCTCTTTAACACAATTCTTGTATTGATAGGATATAGATATGTTGAGTATTGGTAAGAGGCTAGTGCCACAACTGTCCCGATTATGCAAGAGACGGTTGAGCAGCGCACCACGCTCTATTACCACCCACTACACAATGGTGGACAGAGCTTCTGATGAACGCTGGGACGGTGCGTGCTATTTTCATATTTTTTACAGTTTTGCTAATTTTAGGTTTTGGACATATTATTATCTTGTATCCGTGAGTTGAATCAACAACTGTTAACTGTACGTTTGTGTCGGACGTGTAAAAAATAACTCAAGGTAAGTCCTCAGTTAACTGTAAAATATGACATCACCAGATGTTGAAATGGAGCGATACGCTGACGAAGTAGACGTAGCTATAGTAGGAGGTGGTCCAGCAGGTTTATCAGCAGCTATACGTCTTATGCAGAATGCAGAGAGGGAGGGTGCTGAGATTAGAGTCTGTGTAATCGAGAAGGGTCCTGAGATTGGTTAGTGTGATGTGATTATAATCGAACCTTGATAAAAATGTAGATTGCTGCCATTGAAAAAAGAAGTATTTACGGCCTTTAGGGCTCATCGCTGTTTGATCTATTTATGGAAACAACTCTAAAAGTAATTTTAACCATGTGCCATTAAGTAAGTTATGAAGGCGGGACGTGAGCTAGGTGGCATATTATATTCCGGATTTCTGATTTGATTTAAGTTATTTTTGGGTGTTATTAGTTAACATTGTAAACGCTTACAGTGAAAATTCGTAAGAAATTTAACAAATTACGTGGTCGCTCATTTTGTAAACAAGCCAAGAATTTTAATGTAGCGCGCGGACGCCGAACCAGCAATACTTATACAGTTCAACATTGACAGTGCTATAAAAAGCCACGCACGTTTACAATCAAGCAGAGTGGATTTAACGCCAACGTTGGGTACTTGAAGTACCACTTCTTATCACATGTACAATGTTCTGTTATGTTCTTTTATGATTTAAAAAGAAATATAAATATGACATACATAATAAGATTTTATAACAGAATTTAATTTGATTTCAGGGAGTCACACCCTCTCGGGGGCTGTTATCGAGCCCGGTCCCCTCTTAGACCTGTTTCCAGACGCCATTGAACGCGGAGCTCCGCTCAAGACGCCAGTGACCAGAGACGAATTCGCAATTCTTACTAAAAACTATTCAATGGACATTCCTGAACTACTGATCCCCATGAAGAATCACGGCAACTACATAGTCAGATTAGGACATGTGGTCAAGTGGCTCGGTAAGATTCCTTTCTGAATACAACTCGGCGAAACATTAAGAGTTAAATTTCTATAATTGTTAAAACACGTGTTACTGATATGAGTTCAGTTGGTCGTGATTTCCATTGATTATATTTTGTAGACGCGCGCCGAGTTGGACTCGTCGACACGTACACGTCTTTGGAACAAATATTTTACGAGTATCGCCCGTTAAGTTATATTTATAGCTATCTCATCGAATATCAGCCATATTTAGCCGACGAACAATTTTATTCGATATTCAGGCCAGACAGACAGGCCCAATAGTCTGCAAACCAACGTACATACCTTCGGTAACTTAGGTCAACTTCGAGCTAGAGTGTTCAGACCAAGGTCTTGAGTATTTCCACCGCCATATACATAATAGGACAACAAATGCAGATTTATTCAAATTATCCATCGTGCATTATCAGTATTTGTCAAGTTAAACTGATAGTCTGACATAGTATTGGTAATCATTATTTTTGGAAAATTTGTTCGTTAGAATAAATTTTCGTCGCTATTTTGAAAATACGGCGAGTTATCGTCATTATAATCGACCCAAATTACAACCAAATTACAAAATGAATAAATATACGAATAAATGAATAAGGTAGCTAGAAATTACAATCTACATTTTCTGTTAACTTTTCTCTCCAGGTGAGCAAGCTGAAGAGCTAGGAGTTGAGATATATCCCGGGTACGCGGCAAGTGAAGTTCTGTTTCACGAGGATGGATCAGTTAAAGGTGTCGCTACCAACGACGTAGGCATTGCCAAGGACGGATCTCCTAAGGTGAGGGAAAACAGTAATACTTATTTTGTTTTATAATTATTGATGTTATATGCGCATAAACGCTTGTTGATTGTAGGACTGAATCCCTACCGGACGGAATCACTACCACCCAAATATCACTACTGGTAGTGATTTAGTCCGGTAGAGATTCAGTCCGAAAATATACCTCAATCCCTACCAGATGATCTTAGTTCACTAGTTCTAATATCATGACGTGATCTGAGCCGGGGCTCTCATGGAGTGCTTGCTATGGGGCCTGGCAGACATGTGATCCACAGACTTACGTACGCAACGAGGAGCCCTAACGAGAACTGGTTCGGATCAAGTCATCCATAATGACCTGCTATACGACAATACAGTGATGTGAACCTTCACATGCTCGGTATCTCAATCAGCTAGCGGGAATAATATATAAACCCGCAACGCCTGTGTTTATCTTATACCATTACCACTATGTCTTCCTCATCCATCGAGTTTATTCCTGGCAGAAAGAAAGGCAGCCGCAACGTCCTCTACGATGGTCACCTCTACCACCTTAACAGAAAGAGGGAAGACAAGACCTACTGGAAGTGCAACAAGTTCAAGTCCCGCCTGATCCTTGTCCAGGACACCTTCTGTTCTGCTACCCCTCATGATCACGAATCTCAACCAGCAGAAATTGCAGCCCACCGCTCCAAGTCTAAAATGAAGACCCTCGCAGCTACTACTGAGAACTCAACTAAGCAGATTGTTGCAGACTCTGTCGCTGGACTATCCTTCGAAGCCTCGTCCCGGCTCAACTGTGATCCAAGTCATTGGCACGACTAGTCAGACGAGCCAGACAGGCAGCCTACTCCCATCCTGTCAACCCCATCTCCTTAGAAGACCTGGTGATTCCTCCTAACTACCTGACCTCTGCCGGTGGTGACACTATGTTGCTCTGGGACTCCTCCTACGACACCAACACCAGAAGATCTATCCTCCTTGGTACTGCAGACAACATCAACATCATCTATCAGTCAGATCACCTCGTCGTGGATGGAACCTTTAAGACCTCTCCAGACCTGTTTACTCAACTCTTCACAGTCCACGCCTTACACCCTACTGGATGGAGAATCCCTGCAGCCTTTGGACTCCTACCCGGGAAGCGCACCATGTACGAGAACATCCTCAACGAACTGGACTCCTACGGACCCTTCTACCCTCTGTCGGTGCTGGTGGACTATGAAATCGCTATCAGAAACGCAGTCTCCAACGTCTGATGATTATGATAACTTTGGGGATGTTACCGAGTTTCTGAAAGCTGTTGAATCTAAGATTTTGGGTTAATGCTTTAATGTTTACTTATTATTGTGTGATTTAAATTACTGTATCAGTATATTATCTATTATTCTTTGACCAAATTTCTGCTTAGTCAATTATCACGAAAAATGTAATAATAATTAACAAAAAATAAAATAATTAACTAATGAAATACGAATAATTATGCCTTTATTGCAAAGTTCAGTAGGGTCCCCAAATTTGGTTTGGTCTAGAATTTGCGGGAGTGTTTTGTCCCGGGGAGATTTTAGTCCCAAAGTATCCCCAACCTACCCAAAAGTGTTTTGGGATGATTGTCCCTTAGGGGTTTATATGTAAGATTCGGAGTCATGTAGTTAATCTTACCGGCGTGTCACGCACGCTGATTCGTAAGCTGTGTACTACAGGAATTCCTGAGCAGTGCAGATGATATAATTAAATGAAGTTGTGGTAATTAATTTTACCACTATGTATAAATCAACCATAGGTAACTCTAGATTTCCATGAGCGGTCTAAGTAAATACCAGCTGATGAAAAACCGTATTTTGCGTCATTAAAATGAGATAATCGATACTACTCTCATTAGTAAATTATTTTATAGTTAAAAAATTTCAAGAATGTGCTAGCCACTTCCTTTGAACCCGGTTTTGCTCCATACATTTACTCCAACATTTCTCAATCAGATAGAGCAGTCAACCATGTAGAAGCATACAACGCAGCACTTAAATAGCTTTTGATAAAACGTCTCGCACTGCGAGTTTTATAGGCTAAAGTAACGACTATATTGCCCACGGAAGATTCTGCAAAATTGATTATCTTCATGAATTTAAAGATATAGGAAACTCGTTAGATCTTTCAATCGTAAAATATTAATTTAAAGTTAAATCTACGTGACAGAAAGGTGCATAATCTTTAAACCGCAATGAAATCTACGAAAAACAGCAATATTTCTTTGATATTAAGTTTGTGATGAATATGATAATGAAATAACTCCAATTAGTCATCGAATTAATGATATATTATTGGGGCCTGACGCACTGCATCATGATGAAATACTAACAATAGCATACCAAGAAAATCCATCCGGTTGGTTACCTTTATTGCACAATCGACATCAGGTTTTGTTATAAAAGTGATGACAATTGAAGAGGTTTGAAGTAATTGTGAAAGAAGGACCACTAGCTCTGTTTTGAGTAAGAACGTGTTTCCGCTGTTAGAGGCATCTAACTAGGCGATTTTCATTAACCAACGTTTAACGTTTGACTGTCCGCTAACATCCCACACTAATTTCTTCCGACAGGAAAACCATGGAACTAGGTATGGAGAATCCACCCAAGATTAGACCATTGTTTGCGGAAGGTTGCCCATGGACACCTCCTCAAAACAACTGGTTATTGATGAAGTTGAACTCAGTAAGAACTGCCAGCCCATTACAAATGCAATTGAATCAAGGAGGGTAAGTCCATTACCGGCTGCTCTTTTATAGTTTCTTCTAAGTTGGAAGTATAATTGACCAACCGAGTCTCTCCAATCGACGACAATCACATATTATGAATAATGATATTGTGACGTTTTTACAATATAGGTCACCGTGTTAGCAAATATATTCACGTGTAACAAAAATGTCACTTGTCACAATATTGTCACGTGTTACAAAATATCACGTGTAACAATTTGGCAGATGTGGGATGTTCCAGAAGAGAACCCCCTAACCGGGAAAAATATAAAGCAATTTCCACACGGTTGGCTTGCCCCATGGATCAGCACAAACTTTAACGGGTGTTGGGTGTAGAACTTAGTTTATAAATTAATTCTTGATAATAAGTATCATATGATAAAATACTACCAAGAGTTCAAGGTACGATGTTGAGGTACCTGAGTCGATATCTTTCGATAGCTCTCCATCTAATTATCTGCCTTATCTTCCATCACTGATCCTGGTACAGTATGATCCAGGTGTGGCTTTAAAACAAATGTTTAAGGGCCCAACACGCATCTCACTCCGTTGATGAAGAACAGTGTTCTTTTAGCTATGTGTAGCAGGGGACTCCCACTTCTTGTTTGATCCTCTTTGCTAACCAGAATTGCATATAATCATCTTAGAGCAAACCAAAGCCGCCTCTGGGTACACTGCATTTCTTTACTCTCTTTGTAACACCCAAAGTAGTTTATAGTGCTGGTAAGTATGAAGCCATAATCCGCTGACACCCACCTCTACCGTAAAAATGCTGAGCTTTCACCCACTGCCAGGCAGCCCAGGAATAATCTCTCTGAATGTAACGTGCTTGTTTACTTTCTACTTGTTCACCTAAATATACTCTCGTCACCTACTGTCCAACTGCTCTACTGAAATGACCACCTCTTCCTTTATCCGACAGACCTACAATATCGGGAGCGTTCTTTCATTTCCGTAGAATGTGCAGGTAAACTGTGCTTTGGTAGTTATCTTCGTCCAGATAACTGCCAATCTCTTGGACTTTCTCACAAGGGGCTGCACACTTTACATCTTCTTCCTTCCTTCGTTTTTGGTACCAGCTGCTAGATGACTTGAAGTCCTGTCCAGCCCTGAACTTCAAGTTTAAAAACTTTGATGAAGAACTTCTCGATTTGATCCATTTGTGATTTTCGCAATGACCCCTCAGAGCACGTGTTCATGCTTCCCAATTGTATCGATTGTTTGTGTCTAGCGAGAAGTTTTCAAGCTACCAAATGGTTCTACTGTTTGCAGTGTCTCTCAATCCGCAAAGTTGACATGTGTCCTGTGTCAGCAAAATATCCAATCAGGCTTCATGTTTCTGGAGATTTGCAACGTCGAGTGGGTTGGCATTGAGGGTGGAGAACTTAAGGAAGAGGGCGAGGGCTCATCTTTTTAGTTGAAAATTTAAGTTTGTTCCAACCGAGTCTAGCTGCATTGTGTTTTCCCCCCCCATGTATGAATTGTCCTTGAACTCCCTTGTCTACCAGTGTCGGAACAGGATATCCGCTCTGAGATTGGATACCAGTTTTTTCTTTCAGTTTTTCCTTTTCACTGCTACACTCCCTCTTTGGATCCCAAGCCCAATCCCTCCGTGCACTGTTATCACCTACTAACTCTCTGAAGTAAGATCTCTTTCTCTAGCACTCCAGCCATTTAGTGTAACCCCACCGACTGCACCCTTCTTGTTTTCTTGTCCCTGTGCTCCCGAAAGACCTCCTTAACTTTAAATCCTTGCTGTTTTTCTTTAATAGTAACCTTTGGGACACCTGAATGAACTTGTATAAAGTCCGAATAGTCTTTATATTCTATCCAAAGCAATCATTATTTCTGTAAACACACTGACAGTAATTGTCTTTGTTACACCTAGCCATTTCTTCAGATACATCGTATATATTTCTTCAAGATACTATGAAAAAACTAACCGAGATTGTAGATCATAAGGTCCCAGAGAGCTTGCTGTTTTAGAGGTTGTAGTAAATCAGCATTCATCACTCCGATTAAGCCCTGATCCGTCCACTGCCGAAAACAGTGTAATCAGTTTGTCTTCTATCTGCTTCTTGGTATCTTTGAGTGGCCCATATCCACATATATCCAATGGCCAAGAAACTTCTCGGTGTATTTCCAATAAACTGTATCTGATCTCCAATCTACGAAAATTTCAGTCCATAGACACATACCTGTCCATCTAAAACCTTCAACCCCAGGGATACGCATTTAACTCGGCTTTGGCTTTCATGTTTCCTTTGACCAAGTAAGAAAACTTCCATCACATCTATTAGCTTCTTCATCTTTATTCCAGCCTTGTAGACAACAGAGTTAGTCGTCAGCAAAAGCTCGACTTGACGTGGCTGCTATAACTAAAAGACGGCTTGTAAACCCAAGTCGCTGTGATTTATATAGTTAATAATAATTAAAGTTTAATAATTTAATAAGTTAACATTTATTAGATAAGTTGTAATAATACCTGAATATGATAGCTAGTCAATAAGTTAATTTGTTAATAAGCGACCAAAATATGCGGGCATAGAAGTTATTTATATCACTATGCAGTCTAATAAATAAGTCCTAAGAATAACTTATATAGGGGTTTCCCGTTCTCAGGCCCTTGACACTTAGTTTCTTCTGGGGTTCTAATATACCTTTACAAGTAAATGTACTTTTAATATATATTAAGCTCGATCAGTAAAGTTAATGTGCAAACCTCTTCCACGCTCTTCATGTATTTTCTCTACCATATTAACGATGTCTCTGGTGTCTGTTGGTTTTGTCACCGCACTTGATTACAATGAACACCTACTTTCCCCTTTTAAAGAAATGCAGGTATGCTGATCACTGACATGTTCGGAATTGCTTTCATCTTATGGTTTTCTAATATTAATTTCCATTATTTTGTCGATCCCTTTGACTCCCTATTACTGCTCTGCTTCCCGGTGTCGACATAAAAATATTGACAAATTCAAATTATATTGTGACAGGAATTTTAAAGGTTTGATTTAATGTTACGCTGAAGGCGCGAAATGGAAAAGTTTGAGAAATTCGAAATCAACCACTCAGCAGCCCTTGGGTAGTAGTTTATATTTATACTGCTGCATATTAAAAAAGAATATATATTTTATTGTTTTTATGAAGGTGCTCAATAAAGATATTCCGGTAATCTCCAACTATTGACATTCAAGAAGCTGTCAGAGATCTGCTTGGAGTGGGAATTGTAAACCAGTTAGATAATTTACATCGGGAAGTAGCCACAACATGGTGCTCGAAAACTACTCTATCACCAACTTACGAGCTGTCAATGGACGTGGAGATTGTACCACATCTTTATATTTTAGATGTCAAGTGGTCGCCGAGATTCACTTCATGGTTTATCAAATCTAATATATAGTCGCTAAGCTCTCGATAGCTTGAAAGACATCAAAACGCTCTCAGTCCTTATTTTATGTGATTAAAGAACAGACTGCCAAAGAAAAATAGGAAGAAACTACTAGCTTCCAACCCTTTTACCGACGGGCTTTCAATATTATAATATAAAGGCTATATAAAGTACAATAAAGGTAACGCATAAACTGTCCCAATATTTCCACCAGACTGTCACAAAACGTAAAAAAGCCAAATTATGGTTAACAT